GGTGGTATGGTGGGCGGGTCAGGAGGGAAGCGGCTGCGGGCTGCAGCGTGGCGTGAGCCGTGCAGGTGTGGCAGGATGCGGGCTGGATGCACGAGACAGGGGCGACGCTGCCTTGCAAAGCCTTTCTAAAGCAGCTGACTCTCTCCAGTCTCTCATCTGTCCATTCCTGAAACTTGCTCCCGAGGCCGAGGAGGGGAGGGAGCAACCAGGAGGTACCAAACCAGCCAGAGCAGGGCTGGTGCTGCCCCTGCTTAGGAGGCGTCTCCTACTGTAACATCTTGCCCTATTCGCTCACAGTCCCTAAAACTGTTGCTTGCAAAGTTGTGACAGTTGCATTTCCAGGGTGATGTTCACTGGTGGAGAATCATGATCGTTATGAACAACTTTTTTTTTTCCCTCATGATCATGTTTTGACCGTGTTATAAAACCCAGCTGTTGCTGGCATGCTGTGTCAGAGCCCACGGCTCTGCCTGGTTAGCGCAGCCTGCAGCAAGCACTCCCCCCCCCCCCCGCCGGTCAGGGGGACCCGGCTCGCATCTCCAGCGACTGGGTATGGGACGGGGCTCTGCAGGGTCCCCCCACCTCAGCTGATAGAGGGACCAGGGCTGTGACCGGCCCACTGAGCTGTCAGTCTGACAGCAAATAAGGAACACCTAGTAAGCAGGGAAGGCTTTAGGGACTAGAGGGGATGTCGGTCCGTCTTGCCTGGGTTTTCATACCATACCAGTCACCACAATATCTTACTGTTGTAATTCCTGCAGGGAGAATCCATAGGATGAGTAAACAAGTCAAAGAGGCCCCAGGAAAGGGGATGCGAGGGTCGGCACAGCAAAACTGGAGGAGAGCAGACGTTTGCCGAGTCCTCCGGTGCAAGCTGGGAATCATCTGTGAATGCGGATGATCCTCGCGCCACGGGGAGGCATGGCAGGGCGACCGGTGGGATCACTGCAGGGGCAAGTGAGAGGCACCGGCCATCTCTGCTCCCGCTGGGGGGACACAGCCCCACCAAAACTGGTGGCATGTGTCCCACCTCTGCCGTGGGCTGGGAAGGGAGCGGGAGCCCCCAGGGTGGGCTGGGCAGACTGCTCCAGGGAGCGGAGCATGGACAGCAGGATCGCTGGGGAAGACATTTGCTGTCCTGGCCTTGGGCAGCTGGGTGGTGACACCCCTGGCAGGATGGGACACAGGCCCTAGGGGCTCCCTGGACCCCAACCATCCCCAGACCAGTGGCAGTAAGGAGTTGCCTTCGGTGTGGGTTGGGGGAACCCTCACACCCATGGCACAGGATTTGGTCTGCCCAGGGCAGGGCCGGGGAAGGGCACTCCTGGGAATGCCAGTGTGGCTGAGCAAAAGCACAGTGCTGGGTGCTAATAGCCTCCAGCTTGGCTTTGAGTCCGTGCATCCTGCCGGGGCTGATTAGAGCAGCTGGGCTTGTCCACTTCCCTGTTTTATTGCTTCCTCTCCGACAGGGGAAGGTGGCGGGCTTAGATAATTACAGGCAGGATGCCAACACCTCTGGGGCTTCAGTCAGGGATGTCGACTCTCACAGGCTGTGAGTGGGAGGCAGCCCAGAGCTGGCGTATTTTAACATCTTTGAGGGATCCCAGTCCATCCAGCACATTCCAGCGCTCCTCACTAATGGGGTAGGATCCATCAGGCTGCGCGGAGTGCTTCTCGGGCCGCTGGGTCTGCAGACATCTGGTCACGGGAGCTCATCACCCGGCCTGGAGAAGTGGGAATGCAGGAGAGAGGATGGGGTATTGCGTGATGCCGGAGGTTGCTTGTGCTGGGAGAGGGCAGCTCCGGCCATCTGAGCCCTTCTGTCCTGTCTGGCATCTCACAGGTGTCTGCACTGCCAGCTGGAGCCACCTGCATGTCCAGCCTGTGCCAGGGACCCCTTGGATGGTGAAGCAGTCACTGCTCAGCCATGGGGCTGGCTCTCCCCACAACCTGGGGGCATCCACTGCTTTATTCTCAGGTGCTCACCATTCCTCCATGTGCCTCCAGTACATGTCCCAGGGCTCCCATGCTGCAGAGCCATAGGGGCTCGGGTGCTCCCTGCAGCTGGCAGCCACCTTGTGTGGTGACATGGAGAGCTGAAGTGACATGGCAAGGGCAGCCTGCAGGACAGAGCATGTGGGGAGACCATAGGGAAAGCGTAGGGCCTGGGTTTGGGAGTGTGAGAGCATGTTGGGATGGTGTGTTTGGAGCAGCTCCGGAAGATGGGTAGTGGATATGTGGCAGCGACAGGAGAGAGTGAGGATCAGCCTCCCACCACTCAGACATGGTGAAGATACCTAGTGATTGTGCCAAGACCAGGTAGGCAATGACTGCCCAGCGGCAGCGTTACTGAAGGTCTCTGTAAGCCTTCCTGGAGCATAGCACAGGAGATGTCTGCCTTGGCTCTAAATCACAAGTTCATGGGAGTCATTTTGGTTGCTTTTGTCCCACACAGGTAGTGAATACGTACACACCAGGGAAAAAGATCTGGCTGGAAGGTGTTGGCACGACCTCGGCCGGAGGCATGAACAACCTCTCCGATTCGTATGCGGCCGGGTTCCTGTGAGTTACACCAGCTCACCAGTGCCAGGGCACTGCCACCCCCATGGGCTCTGTGGGCTCAGGTGCTGCAAAGCTGCTGCAGCCAGGAGACGGCCAGCTCTGTGCCCAGAGACCCCACCTATACTCCCCCTCAGTGCTCCCTGGCAGCCTGGGCACCATTATTTTCTCCGTAGCATCCCTATTACCCATCGTCAGCTCTGCTTTCCTGTAGGCAACCCAGTCTCTGGCATACCCAGAGAAGCAGAGCAAGGAGGGGACCGCTCAGGATCCCATGCAGGTACCCATGGTGTACCCGCACCCTTCCCATGGGTGTGGAAGGGGAGGTGTGATCCAGGCATGCCAGCTCCAGGACCCAGAGCCAGCATCCCAACAGGCTTGCCTCGCTTGGCAGCTTGGGATTGCCTGGACCTCCTCCCGCTCTGCATTTTTGGTTCAGGCTGCAGCCACCTGTCCTTGCATGCATTCACTCCCAGGGCACCTGCCCAGGGAAGTGCTCTGCAGGACTCTGCTCTGGAAACCATTTTCTCTCCTTCTTCGAAGCCACAACCATTCCTGGCTCCCGGGGCGTGTCTACTGGCACGGCCCAGTGACATGGGCATGCTGCTGCAAAGCCCCAGTTCACATCTTCAGAGCTGGCCGTGATTGTGAAAGACAGAGGAAGATTATCTGGGCTTTGCAGGGAGGCGCGGGGACATCCCTGTGATACCTGGGCTGTGGCAGGCTGTGAGGGTTGAAGACTTTGCCCGGGGGGTGTGAGGAGACAGGCTGCTGCAATGCTCCAGTCCCCACTGTTGTGTTGAGACGGTGGGTGCAGGGTGCTGGCAGGCTGGGGGGGCACCCCAGGCTTTGGGTGCAGGGCTGCGACACCAGGGTGTACACAGGGGCTCGGGTGCAGTGTTGGGACATGCAAGGTGGGCACAGCTGGGGCAGAGGTGGCTGCAGGGGGGGCAGAGGTGTGCAGGCTTGCCGGGGCAGAGATGTTGGGAGCCGGTTAATAACGTGCATGCGAAACCATCTGAAGGCTTCGGCTCAGGCACTGGGAGCAGGCGCCAGGTCAGGTGCACACGAGTGATGCCGTACACTGGAGCACGGCTGTGCCACTGGGGCCAAGGGGTCTCCCCACAGTGGCCTGACTCTGCTCCCTCCATCCCCAGGTGGCTGAACACGCTGGGCTTGCTGGCCAGCCAGGGCATCGACGTGGTGGTGCGGCACTCCTTCCTCGACCACGGCCACAACCACCTGGTGGACCAGAACTTCAACCCCTTGCCGGTAGGTCTGCCTGGGGGCTTGGCACTGGCACTGGCTTCTCCCCACGCATTTCTGGCGAGGTTTCTCTTCTTGTGGCCTGTCTCAACTCTGCTTGAAAATGGATTTTTCCAGATCAGTTTCTTGCAGTATTAATAGGAGATATTAGTTCATGTCAAATGCAACATATTGGAGGCAGATGGGAGGACATTACCTCTGAAACTTCATCTAGTGCCCAGAGTCGGTAGCAGGGGA